AAGCATCATTTCACTTTACATTAATGATGCTATTTTTTGTGTTCATGTATTTAATTGAAAGCTGATGAGTGATATCCTTTAACAGTCTGAACCATCAAAATGAAAACCAAATGCAAGGAATGCAAAAGTACGCCTGAAAAATGCAATCAGAAATAAAAAATGGTTACAGTAGTCATTAAATTGAAAGGCCGGCAGAGAAATCTAGGTGTGCCAAGAACAGAATACAAGCATTTCACACCACTGTCCTCACCCGAGTGGAGACTCCAAACCATTTTCCAGGATATACAGAATACAAGTGACTGGGCCTTATTAATTCCCTGATCAACCCCAAAACAGTCTGTACAAACTTCCTTTCTGTAATAAGGAAACTCACTCCCCAACATCTGCTTTCTTGGAAACATGACTTTCAGACAGACTTTCATTTGCAATGAAGACAGTTGCTGCTACAGTGCTGCTGTCATGATTACACGCACTACTAGGACTATTTTTTTTTTTTCTTTTAAGATGTGTAAGAGCAGAACTTTTCTTTGATAAGCTTCTGGAGTCAGCTCAGATAAGCTGAAGGACAATACTGACAATGCCATTAAAATTTGCATCTGTTCTCCCACTGGAAAACTAGTCAGGCATAGACATGCAGTGTTCACCTACATCTGGCTACTGCATACCACAAACCCCATCTGAGAAGCCACATTCAGTTTCCACTATAACATTAATAATGATATAGCAGGACTGGTATCCCAGTAAACACTGCCCTTGAGATCAGAACCCTATGTTTTCCAAATTACAATTACAGTATTGCTTCCCTAAAACAAGGGTTGTCAAATTATAGATGAGAAGAAAATAGAAACTATAACAAATAAATACACTTCTTCCCTTGAATACTTGTCTTTCTCATACAATGGCAGAGCTGCTTTTGCAAAGTAGACTAAACTAAGCAGCCTATAGATTATTGCTGCCCCCTCCCCCCTTAACTATTAAAAGATTTTGTAGCAACAGCATTGTTACAGCCAGTCTCAGCCCAGGAAGCAAGGAAGAGCAATATTCTTGAAAGAGATGGCTAGGTCAAGTTATAAATGTGGTCAGTCATATTTGGGCCTAAGAGGCTTCAAAAAAGTAGGTTCACATAGCTTTAGGACAAACACTTATTCTATTAGCTGCTCGTAAATAGAGCCCATTCTGCATTAGTAAGCCTACTTTAAACTTGTGGTTTTCTTCACAACCCATATGAACAAAACTAACCTCTAATTTGTAGTTGAGCCAAATATCTTTGCTGACATCTGTGTATGAAATCCCAGCAGAACACTCTTACTGATTTTCATCCAACTGTGACAAAATGGATTCAGTGATTACACATTTTATCATCAACACAATTGATAATATAACCCAGATCTACAGAGGGAAAGACATTACTTAGTCCCACTAATTAGAAGTGAGGTAATACACAGGTAGTTATGCTTTAGGTACTCTGGTGACTTTTTCAGTCCATTCAACATCCTCTGTTCAAAAACTTAACTTCTGGCAGTAACAACTTTTTGCAGACCAGAACAGACATCGTTAAATAAAAGCTAAATTCAATCCAGTAACCTATTTTCTCGTCTTTTCAGATAGCAAGACCCATAGTAAGAACAAACACGTGAGTGAATCTCTGACAGCCAGTTTCCTAATGTCAGAACCACATATGATGCTGCTGTGGCCATAATACTCTAAATTAATCCCGATTAGAAAGTTTAGAAGCTACTGTGTTAGCTGTATGCAACTGCTGGTTCCAGTTTTGTCTTAAGACACTGAAAGTTATTTAGTTGTACCTAGTATTATTTGCCACATATAGATCCTGCTTTATGCCATTTTATTATGCATTTATACACGCAAGCTGAAGGAAGAAGTTTTAGGCAACAGGAGTCACCCTGATGGCTGTCACCACTGTTGCTCCTGTGTTAGCTGCACTGCTCTTAGGCACACTTTGCAAGGCTGGCAGAACTGAATCCCCAGTTCTACTGCTCTACTCAGGAAAAGTGCCCCACTCCTAATTCTAGGATGGATTAAAAGCTAGCAGGAAGTTAGCAAACCCTCGTTGCCCGACCCTGTCTCTGCTGGAGCTGGGGAAAACTCATGTGTGAGAGAGAGAGGCATCAACTTTATTATTAATTTTGAACTTTTCAGCAAGCCTTCTAGCCATAAGGCTTCAGGACGCACTCTTGAGCATCCATTTACACCTCCAACCCTGGACAGAAAACACGAGCACACTGATAAGCCAGTGCAGGTGCACCGAGGCCTGACAGAAGCTACGGCTGTGCCGCAGGCTGCCTGCCATCACAGGATTTTATTTCTGCATTATATTGGGCAACGCTCAGGTGGGTACTGAGACAGCCTGCCAAGATAAATTAAAGGTCTGCTGGCCCTTAACAAGAAACAGTATCCCCACCCTTGACTTAGAGGTTACGGGTGACACCACTCATTATGTTCACCTTGCTTTTGTCTTCTGCCTGAAGTTTAGACGCACTAAAATGCAATCATGAGCAGTCACGCGTGATTTCAGACACTTGGCTCCCGGTGTCGGTTGATGCCCAGTCCTGCAGCATAAAGACCAACCAGGGATCTCTTCACGCCAAGTTCTGTGAACAAAAGACCGTGCTGCTTCCTTTGGCAGCGAGGACACTGGCTGCATATCGTTAGTTTGTGCGCTGCTGAGAAAACATATTGCCACCATTCAGCTGCTCAGGAACTCCAGCCACCGCACCGGGGAATGCTACACTGAAAACCTGCACTCATTTTTGTTGGAAAGGGGCCAAATGGAGTTGTGGTTGTTACCCCGTGCAAATGCAGTGACTTTATACCAAGGCATGCCGAGTGTTTAAGCCTTCCAAATAAATTCCTCCACACTCCCCTTAGGGATGACCTATCATCCCCAACCAGAAAACGCTTTCCCACTCCACCTCTGGACGAGGAAAAAGCAGACACCTCTGCCACATTCTCCCTCCCTCCCCCTGCAATTTAATTATTACAGTTCTATGAAATCAGGACATACACATGGGGATCATCCCAGGCATCATTTCCAGCTCTGTCTTTTCTAGTTTAAAAATATTAAAGATGAAGTTACTAAACACTTCAGGGATCACCATGTAACATTAAGTCCTTTGCTGACTGGTGTTTGGATTATGCAGAGCCTTGATCCCCAGTGATAGGGCTTCAATGATGGAAATATTTGTGTTATTAATGACAGAAGCACTGCTTCTTAATGCAAACTTTGTAAGGCTGCATGGTCAGAATTCCTGCAGAAACATTGGAAAGTTGTTTCCTGACCAGTTCAGTTAGGCCAGCCCCTTTTAGCAGCCTCCTCACACCAAGGGGCTTAATTTTTTTCTTAATGAAAAACCCCATAACAATTGTTTTATGTCACCTACAATGGAACTCAGGATTTTTGTTCACTTGACACAAATGAATACAAATACTAACCTCATGAATAGTTAAAATCAAAAGCATTTACAAGAAAGATATCCTTTGAAATTCACAGAAGCAAAGAGATTTGACTGAACTTTATGCTGTCAGGAGTAACATTGAAAAATAAGTAGTGTCAGCTATGCAAGACTTTAACGAGTAGTGGCCAGTATTATGCATCTGAGAGATCTGTCCAATTTTTAAAGTATCAGAGTTATCAGAGGAAGCGAGGACAAGTCCTTGAGATCCAAAAATCTCAGGATGATCACTTCCTTCTCTTTTAATTAAAGTACCACATACCTACAGAGAGAGAAAAAAAAGAGCTCAGCTCTTTTTCAGCTGTGCTGAAACAAAGAGACTAAACCACACTTGGAGGTACAAGAAATGATTCAAGCTGATTGAAAAGTGTATTTGGGAATCATAGAATTGTTTTGGTTGGAAAAGATTTTTAAGATCACCGAGTCCAACACGTCGAACAGTACTTGCCACACACAAGATATGACTTAGAAGCACTTACTTGCTATCAGTTTCTCTGCAGGCTAAGATTTTGGTGCGTATTTTACTGTACCTTCTGGCTGTACAGATCAGAGACCTGAGAACATAAAAGGCCCTTCAATTACCTTACTGCTTTCAGCCTATTAGCCTCTTACAGGTATAGATACGGTTTCACCAGTACCCTTTTATGCTTACTTTAATTCATTACCAAAGAAAGACAACTTCTTCTCCCTGTAAGCCCTCCCTCACTCTTCAGACACAAAAGAAACTTTCTGTCCTGTCTAAAAACTTCAGGCAAGCCAGGGACAATGCATTTCTCCATTTCCAGCAGTGGCAATCCATAGGGGGAAAAAAAATAACAAAAAAAAAGTTGCACCAAATCGTTTTGAACAAGGTTATTAAGCGTTATCAAAGTACCAGTGCCTCCAGGGATGGATTCCAGCCTGTTCCCAAGTATTATCCCCCCAGCGACGACACACACCTCATCTGTCACTGCTGAAAGAGAGCTGGCAGAAAAGGGTCTCGGAGACTGTAAAAGCGATTAAACTGGAACTGAATGGAGGTAGGTAAATCACTACCATCAAAGTGTTACAGGCACATAAAGGCACACAGGTGAAGAGGCTAATAAAAACGCTCCTCTAGAAGTGAGCACAACCAAAATATACGGTTTTCAATAAAGGCTTAAAAAAAA